ACAGCTCCGTGTGGCCACCTAGGGCCTGCAGGGTGCAGAACGGCTGCTATGGCCGTGGAGTTTCACAATCCGGCCTCCTTCGAGCGGGCCGGAGCAGCTCTGGAATTCAGATCCATGTGATCCATGGAATTCTATGCCCTGCTCCCTTGATTGTGGCATAGCTCCAGCTGGCAGCGGGGTAAGAAAGAGGGACCGTGGGGCTATGGGGTAACTGCCGTCTGCCTGAGTCTGCATGATGCCGGAGCCAATCATTGTGAGATGGGCAAAGACCCAACGTGTCAATGGGGAAGGGTCAGCTCCCAGCCCCCTGCTCTCAGGAGCCCTGCCAGTGGTCTCTGTGGAGGGCAGGAGAGGAGGAACAGCCACCTCACCATCTGTGAAGGTACTGGGGATCCCACCGCTGACACCAATGCCTCCTTCTGGGAACGAGGACGGGAAAAGCGCACCAGACTCTCTTTATACCTTCTGGCCGCGTCTAGACTGGCATGATTTCCTGGAAATGCTTTTAACGGAAAAGTTTTCTGTTAAAAGCATTTTTGGAAAAGAGCATCTAGATTGGCACGGACGCTTTTCCGCAAAAGCACTTTTTGCGGAAAAGCGTCCGTGCCAATCTAGATGCTCTTTTCCAAAAATGCTTTTAACAGAAAACTTTTCCGTTAAAAGCATTTCCAGGAAATCATGCCAGTCTAGACGTAGCCGAGATGAATAAGAAAGAAAACGAGAAAGGTATATACAATAATGCATGGTATTGAGATTGTCAACCAGGCCTTCCTACTTTCTCTCCTTCACAACACCAGAACCAGCAGATATTCAATGAAGTTGCAAAGCAACAGATTTAAAATGGACTAACAAGGTGTTTTTTTTCTATTTGTAGGGCATAATTAATCTAGATGTGAGTGGGGCTATGGGATGGGGCATGTGTCTTTACCCAAAATGCTGGGACATGGACGCCTGAGGCTGGGGGGGGGCACAAATGCCCAGGGTGACTCTGGAGGGCCACTGGCCTGTGACCACAATGGGACCTGGCTGCTGATGGGGGCCGTGAGTTGGGGGGATGGCTGTGGCCGGCCCAACCGGCCCAGTGTCTACATCCGGACGGTGACCTACAGAGAATGGATATGGGGGGAGGTGGGCTCCGGGAGCCAAGCCAACACCACGGGGAACCGCAAATCAAG